GGTTGTGAGAGAAACTGAAGCACATTTGCTCTCATTCACACTAAAGTGCGGAATAGACTCAATTATCAAAAGTTAGAAAGGCTGGTGTTTGCACAATATAACATGAGGTTGAAGTTAAAGCACCTTATGAAGGACAAAAAAGTGTATGAATTCAGACCTATAGACTTAACCACTGTTTTTGACGAAGATAAAGGTATTTCAGAGTGGTTAGATGATCCTGGTGATACACTTCTAGATGAACTTGATGATGATGGGCAATCAACAAGACCAAACACTTTCCTAGAGATGTGGGCAAATCGTTTTTCCGATGACGACGGAGGAGTAGGCCTAAGTCAAGGTGTTGTGCTACCACGAAAATCAAGATCCAAAATAAGTAGAGGAGGATCAAGTAAAGTAATGGATGATGAAGAGTTTAACAGACTAATGAGAGGTCCACCAAGACGTAAGCAACCTATCACTGTCACTAGTAGTACTGAGGATGATCATAATAGTGATGGTAGCAATGATTATGGTGGTGAAGATGATGATGAAGATAGTGGTGGTGGTGGTAGTGGAGATGGTGACAGTGGAGGTGGTGATAGCCATGGACATGGAGGCGATGGAGGTGGTGGTGATGGAGGTACGGAAAACCAAAGTCCACATGGAATTGTATTCACTGTAGAGGAAAGATTTACACATGCTACACAAGATGAAGATCATGGCTCTCGACGAATGTGTCAATATGAACGTCACTCAAAATCAACTCGAGATCGTCAACGTGAGCGTATTCAAAATCCGATCACTCCACATGGTATGGGTGCTATTAGGCATGGAGCTGATATGATTAATGATGATTTTTCTACTATGAGTATAAGTGGAAGTGGAAGTGAAAGTGAACACCACAATTATGGTTCGTCATCTTCATGTGATTATGGTTCTGGACATCACATTCTCTCATATGATTATGGATCGGGGTATGACACACAAGGATACGAATATGGATCCTCAACTTATGTTTATGAATCTGGCTATGACTCCCAGACATCCTCCTCATATAGACAAGATGAAGGTTAGTCAGGGACTGGTGCATTCGTTTTCCAACAGATTGGATATAGTGTTACAGACTATCAGAGGTTTGGGAGAGAATATAATTCATATTATCGTAATAATATGAGTTGGAGTAACTATTGCCATCATATTTATGTCACATATGGAGTTTCTCTAAGTAGCTACCCAGAGCCTACACTAATATATGAGCCTGCTCGACACTCCACAGGGGATGGATGTAACCATATAAGTATGTACTCATTAGAATTTCATGTGTATTATGAGACCTTAATATTATGTAAAAATGTATTTATTTGATAAAAATTAAAAGTTTGAAACTAATTTAAGCAATTTATATCTCATGTCAAGCATTTTTTTCCCTCCAATTTAAATTTAGTCTTGTATAAATAGATGTTAACCCAATAAATATGTTGAATTAATCAATTATTTAGCTTATCTTTATAGATTAATGGATTGTATTTGTGTTTTCACGCGTTTTCATATTTTTTCCGCATTTCCATTGCGTTTTCGAAACGTTTCCGAAATGTTTCTGTTTTTTAAATAACTGAAATGGTACTTCGAAACGAAATTTCGATCCTTGACAGAGTCATATTTCTCCACTCATTCACTATCTGTTCAGTGGAAGTTTTGTATTGAAAAAGATATGTTAAAGGATGGATTTCTTCTCTTACCCCCCCGCCCAAAAAAATCACAACTTGGGTCAAGGAAAGAAATCCAACTTGGGGAAGACTTAGGGAGAAACATCTCTTCAGGGGGAGCAAACTACTTGTGGAAGATTAGATAGTGAGGATTTACGAAGCTATACTAGATAACAGGTTAAGTAAATCACCGCCCATGAGCCACAAAGTCCATTATCATCTCCAGACTCCGTTCCCAAGATCTCTTCTATGTTATTAGGTAATGAACCTCCTTGAAGCAATCTGGTAGATGATAGTTTTTTACCTATTGCTATTCGAAAAGAAGTTCGTACTTGTGCCCAACATTCTATTTCGAAATTTATTTCTTATGACTATTTGTCTTCTATCTATCGTGTTTTTGTTTCGTCTTTATCTTCTATATCCCTTCCTCGAAGTCGGAATGAAGCTCTTGCAAAACCCAAGTAGAAAACAGCTGTGGTGGAAGAAATAAGAGCTCTAGGAAAGAATAAAACATGGGAGCTTATATCTCTTTCAACCGTGAAAGAAATCAATAGGCTGAAAGTAGATGTTCACTGTCAAGAGAATACAAATGGTATACTGGATAGAAACAAAATAAGGTTGGTAGCTAAAGGGTATACTTAGACATATAGCATCCACTATCAGGAGACATTTGCTACTGTGGCGAACATGAATTCCATTTGTGTCATCCTTTCATAAGCTACCAATTTGGGATGGGATTTACAACAATTGAACGTAAAGAATGCATTTCTTCATGGGGACTTAGAGGAGGAAGTGTACATAGATATTCCTTTGGAATTTTCTTCTCCAAATACTGAGGGAAAAGTATGTAAGCTGAAGAAATCCTTTTATAGACTTTAGTAGTCTCCTAGAGCTTGGTTTAAGAGATTTCATAATGCAATGGTCAAGATTGAGTTCAAGCAGAGTCATGTAAATCACACCATATTCATCAAACAAGGGAGTGGTAAGATCTCAAATTTTATAGTATATGTTGATGATATAATATTCATGGGTGCTAATGTGAAGGAAGTGTCTAAATTGAAAGTTCACCTTACTAAAGAATTTGAGATAAAGGATTTGGGACGGTTACGTTATTTCCTAGGGATTGAAATGGTCAGGTTAGATAAAGGCATCTTCATCTCATATATATCCTTAATCTCCTAAAAAAAACTGGCATGCTAGGTTGAAACCTACTAACTCACCTATTGAGACGAAGCACAAACTGAGAAGTGATGAAGATGATCAAATTGATAGAGAAAGATATCAGAGGCTTGTTAGGAGACTGATATATCTTTCTCACACTTACCCAGACAGCATATGCAATGAGTGTTGTTAACCAATTCATGAATGCTCTGCGAGTTCCTCATAAAGAGGCAGTTCATCGTATACTTTAAGTATCTCAAATTGTCCCCAGGCAAAGGCGTATTATTCTCAAAGCAAGGTTACCTAAGAATAAAAGCTTTTACATATGCAAATTGGGCAAGCTCAATTGAGCATAGGAGATCCACTATAGGTTATTGTACCTTTATAGGAGAAAATCTAGTTACTTGGCGAAGTAAGAAGCAAGCAGTTGTGGCTAGATCTAGTGCAAAGGTAGAATACAAGGCTATGGGCTAATGATGTTTGTGAGATTTTGTGGCTGACAACCTTAATGAAAGACTTGGGTGTCTCCTGCACTGCAATAAAAAGGCTGCCACAAAATCTTGCTCAAGACCTAGTTCAGCATAACAGAACAAAACATATTGAGATTGACAGACACTTGATTAAAGAGAAGCTAAATGGTGGGCTGATTTGTATGCCATTTGTGATATCCAAGAAACAACTAGCTGATGTGCTAAAGGGCATAGTAGTTGAATTTTTCATTCGGATATATGCAAGTTGGGCAAGGGAGTGTAGAATATTAGGTCATTTTAATTGAGGGTATTGTCGTAATCCTCACTTTATTATGAGTTAATATAAATATAGGTGATAAGAGGAGAGCCTAGTTAACTCTCACTCTTCTTAACCCTATTTTCTAATCTCTTTCTTTTCTTCTCTCTTCTCTCTTCTCTTTTCTCTTTTCTCTTCCCTTCTCTAAACCCTAGATTTTTAAATCATAGTCTAAACATATGTGGGGATGAGGCTCGTGCATTCAAACTTTTGGCATCACTAAAAACAAAAGGTTTTTCTTTGAGAGCAACCAACACTATAATTCCTGCTCACGAACTTAGAAAATATACTCATGGAGCAAATGTCTCAGAATTAGTCTGCAAGTTGGACAATATAGCCTTATCATTTTCAAACATGTTCAATTACTCATTACAAACACGAGAACAATGATTTTTTGTCTTTTCATTCTCTTTTTTCCTCTTTTTTTTTTTGGAGGGGAAAAGGGAGGAGTTGGGTGATGGAGATTAAAGAAGAATAAATAAAGTTAGCTGAATCTCTCTCCCTCCATTTATGTCACTCTTGGCCAGCAGGGTATAGAATAGTCTCTCTCCTTTACAACTTCCCTTTTTAGATGTCAAAAGTATCAGCAAAGTCTACAGTTCTTATAAGGGTCTTACAATTGAAAAATCAAACAGTTGGACAATATAGTAAGTTATTGTTTTCAAACATGTTCAACTATTCATTGCAAATACAAGAACAGTGATTTTGTCTTCTCTTTTTTTTTTCAGTTTTTCGGGTTGGGGCAGTTTGCTGGTGGATACTAAGAAGAAAAAAGAAGAGTTAGCCAGATCACTCTCTTCACTCTTGGCTATCAAGGTACAGAATAGTATCCTTCCTTTAAAGCTTCCCTTCTTAGATATCAAAGTAGAAGAAAAGTTAAAAGTCTAAAAATTGAAAACATTTCAACCAGCTCATGTTCGCCATTTTAGCAATGGTTTACCAATTCAATTATTAAAACAAGATAATCCAAACAAGAAAGACTAGGGCATGACAGTATTTGGGAGCCTTGCAGAGAGTCCAATCTTAAATATAACCCCGCCATCAATTTTTCATAGCACTGAACCACAACCTTTAAATGAAGTAGTGATGCAACCAAAAATCGTAAAGTGTATCCTCAAATAACGGCATCGACCTTATATCCTCAAATAACGGCATCGACCTTCAAGTACCTTTGAGGTCAGTGTCGAACCAGTTATGCTGATAAAATTTGCTCCTGCTTCTGTAGCAAGAGCCTTGGCGAGAAGGGTTTTTCCGGTTCCAGGAGGCCCAAAAAGCAATATCCCTTTGCAAGGCTGACAAAAGATTTCACATGGTTATACAATACAATGCAAGGCACCAGAAAAATGAATAAATAAAGCAATAAAATACCCGTAACAAATTCCCATGAGAGAAAAGCTCTGGTCTCCTCATTGGCAGAATCACAAGTTCGTTTAATGCCCGCTTTACTTCTTCAAGAGCACCAATATCATCAAACTTGACACCGACTTCTCCCGGAGGAACCACGGATGAAACAAAGTTGCTTTCATACTCATCCTTGGCAAGATTCTGCCACAGTAACAAGAGGTTACCAACAAGCAACAGATCTGCCAATAGCATTTTCTATCACAATGTGCGACACATACCTTCAAATTATGTGAAGGCTTCTTGAATATGGTTTCTTGCTCCTGTAACCTCGAAATTGCAATTTCAAGGCTTCATGTGATTAAGAACAACAACCAACCAAAAGGTTATTCATAGAATGATACTCAAAAAGTTCTCTAAGAAAGAAACAAGCATTTTGATAATTACCTTTCATGAGGAACACATAATCTTCCCCCTTTATGTTAGGAAGGAGGCATGAAGATAAATAATGATTTTTAGCCCAGCCGACAACTTTCTCGGCTTCTGCAAACAAAAAGCGAATGATGATTGTAACAACTTTGTCATAAAGAAGACGGCTTATGCATCGAGTACACATGCAAGTTTCACTATGGCACCAACTGATAAAATGTTAGAAGCAGCAAAGAACATGTACGAGATTCATTACATTACTGGATTAGTTCAGGAGAAAATACTTGAACCCACAATGTAACAGATTCACAGGCTAATGCCTGTATGGGGATGATCACAACTGCAGTATGGCCTGTTTGCATATAAAAATTATGAGCATGATATTAATAATTTGCAGTCCATATTGTTGCACCTACTTGGTAAAAAGTATATGTGTGCATGTAGACGAGCATATCAATCATTATATTGTCCAAAATCTTCTCCATAATCCACAAGAGATCCAATCCTTAATCATGCAGATGTGCATATATATGATTAGATTAGCAAGAATATTCGAAATCAAAAGACACAAGAAGTATGATCCTTAATAGTCACATTCTACGTCATCAAACCAAACCTACCCCCTACCCAACCCCAATTCCAACTCCACCCCAAAAAAATAAAAAAAATAAAAATAAAAACAAGAAAAACGAAGAAAAAGCAACAGGGGGGAAAGGAAAAAAATTAAAATCAAAAACCAAAGATCTGAGCAGTGCAACTTCCAAACCCTCTATATGCAAATCAAATTGACAAGATTTATGACACATCTTAAAAATTCAACCACAAATCAAAGAAGAGTGCATAACTCTAGCCTCCAGGTACCAGATCAACAAAAGTAGTCATAGCATTAAACTAGAAAAATTGGAATGCAAAAGTGTACAAACCTAGAAGAAATAGTGGGCTTGCCTTTTTCATTATAATTGGCTGAAGCTAAATTCATATAGTAGTTAATCTTTTGTGAGAAATGCAATGATATTTACTTGGATAGACAGAGTTTCTTGATTTTGAGAGAGATTTTAGCAATGGCTTTGGCACAAGATTCTGAAAGTTCCATCTTCTTTCAAATAAGAAAAACACAAGCTCTCTATACCTAGCACAATAAAAATATTATTAAGTCTTTAAGAACTAGATTATTTACTTAAATTGATTAACTTTCTTCATGTTAGGCTGGTTTGCCGCTTCAATGAGGAGAGGATGTCATTTCCTGTTTGTTTTTCAATGTACTTGGTGTTAAAAGAGTTAGTATCCCACACCAAACAATTAGAATCAACAAGATTGATTTATACACTTGAAGGGACACTCTACCCATTGTTAATTGATTTTGGGTTGGATGCTCTACCATGGTATCAAAGTTGGGCCTTCAGTGGCCAGTGGGGACAAATCTCTTATCCATTTGAATTTTCTGGTATGCAAAGTTGTTTGGCTGTTTGTTTACCCCACGTGTGAGCCCAGGTCCCATATGAGAGAGGGTGTTAAAAGAGCTTATATCCCACATCGAATAATTAAGACCACCAAGGTTGTTTTGTACACTTGAGGGGCTACTCCACCGATTGCCAATTGGTTTTGAGTTAGATGCTCAAACACATTGGACTTCATTGGCATAATTGATCCCACTACATTGCCCCTTAGAATATTTGGTGGACTAGAAATGGCATTCTTGTAATTTTCAAATATGACTAATAATGTAAGGTAATTTTCAAATATGACTAATAAAAATGACAAAAATCTTCTTCTTTCCTCACACTTAAAGAGGAAAAGACAAAAGACGGTATATACAAACTTTAGTAGGGGCTATATAATGCAATGTGGGACAAACTCTTAACCCTTCACACGTGCGAGAACCAGTAATGCGTAAAGAGGAAGATAAAAGATCTGAGAGATTGGACCAAAATACAATAAGGTGCACTTTGAGCCACAAACTAAAGGGAAATCAATAACTATGAAATAGAAAGCTTGGTTAAAAGCCTCATGCAGCCTAACTCGGACAATGTTTATGATAGGGCTGATAGAAAAGAAAGAGATTTAGGCAATGAAAGCAGGTCGAAAACTACCCAACTACTCATTATTGTATTATATTGTGTAATTCATACACACACCCGCACACACACATACATAAAAGGAAAAAAGAGACTGATAGGTATTCTTCTAATTCCTGCTGTACAGGATAAATATAGATTGAGATTAGTGTAGGAATGAGAATGATTTATTCCAATTTTTTCAGGAAAGTTCCCTATTTCTCTCATTCTTTTCTCCTTTACATACCCTAAACTTAGAGAAACTGTTCAAACTTCAATATCGTATATTATACCAACATGTGGAACTTATTTAATCACATCCATAGTCTTCCTCATCTCAGTTCAGCACCCCATCCATTTTCATTGCGACATATCCATTTTTCCATAAAAATAAGGCAAAAAGGAAGTTTCAACATGAATGAAAAGTTTGACCACACACTTGTTTCAAAATGCCTTGGTATTCTGGCAACCAGTAATTTGCGTGAGGGTTGAATGCCAATGTGTCATGATTAAAACTACACATATATATTCCCAAATTAGAATCTTACTCCGCTTCGTCAGTATTACACCATCAGTATTTACATGCAACAAGTCCATGCAAGATAGCTCATGCTCCTCCATAACCTGGAAATAAGCATTCATTTCAACAATTGCATCCACAGAGTAAAGGGATTCATAAGAAAATGAAATCCCTAGCACCAAACTGATAAAGCAATTACAGAATACTACACAATGAACCACAACAGAGTTCTCAAATATGGTAACTAGCACGCAAACTATCCCCATACCTTATGCAATTCATTTAAATTGCTCCGTGATATCACAATTCTCCTGTCCTCTTCAACCTGCTTATTGAAAGTCCTAAGTAGATCTTCCTCCTGCAAAAAGAATATCAAAACTACCAAAGAGTATTCCATGCTTTAAAGAAACAGTACAATATAATTATTAAATCAGGCGTAACATTTGAGTTCGAATTATGCAGACAGCATGGACCTTGATCACCATTCATGTCTATTTGTATTTATTCAAGTTAACACGAGTTTCGACAAGTACATAATGTGTCCCCATCCATAGGTATAGTAAGTTTGGCAATGGCAAGTCTAAACCATCCAAATAGAGTAAGAACAAAACTACTTCACCAAATCAACCAACACCAAACATTGCTATCAACAACAATGCTTGAACTAAGGATCAAAATTCGGTTTCAAAATGTCTGAAACGTTTCCGTTTCCAATGAGACTGAACGAATCAGGGATGGAATCAAAATTCTAATACTTTGAGGTGTTTCATAATATTTCGAGGTGTTTTGTATTGTTCCAATGCATTTGCACTATTATTTCAGAATGTTTCAAGATATATTTAAAGATAATTTAGTATATTTCGATCAATGTTTTTGAAAAATAATTCTTAAATTTTTTATTTTTTTCATTTTGTTTCCAAAATAGGTCGAAGCGTTTCCTTTGATTAGGAGACCAAAACAATCCACCTAAAGAAATTTTGATCCTTGACTTGAACTAATCGCTGCCTTGTAAAGTTTAGGATCATGATATTGTATAAAGACCTGAAAACCAAAAAAAGAAAGTAAAAAAATAAAAATTACATATTATTTGCTAAACCTAGAAATTACCTAGGTGCAGCATGTCCGAATCCAAACCTAGAAAATTCAATTCCACATAAGCACAGAGTGTTTTGGTTCCGCTTGAATATTCTAATGATTGGAAATCTTTGAATTTTTAGATCATCAATCAACATTTCATGAAACACTATTGACCAAGTATCTTCCTATTATTTTTAAATTAATTTCCAGACTGCACTACTGCGAATAACCCACTTGAAGACCGTAAACCATAACCCATCATGGAGGATGATCTCTAAGTGGGCCAGCTACAGTCCTTATGTCTAGTTAGTTGTTCGAAAAACTTCTATTTACCTTTTGCATTTTTTTGTTTTCAAGACCCGCCATTGACCCAAAAAATGTGAAGAAATTGGAACTAAAGAGAGTCTCAAGTGTCATTCAAGGTGAAAAGGTTACTGAGGCAATAAGTCTCTTGGGCCTAGATGCAAGGCAAGGTGAGGCAAGGCTTCACCGAAGAAAGGTGCATCTTGAAGATTAAAAGCATATGTTAATATTCCAATTTCAACATAGCCAAAGTCATAAGAACTACAGACCACCAAAGAAGGCAATAGTATTTAAAAGAATCACGTCTATATAATAAAGTACAGTGGATTTTGAATCCCTAATTTATTTTTTGCTTATCTCCACCTATTAATATCTCAGATTATTCCAGAATCAATTGAAACTAATTCGATGACTAAAAACACTCTCGAAAATTAGAGTTCCTCCCCAAAAAAATCTCCTTTTAGTCCACCAATCAAACTTAATCTCTCTCCCCATCTAGCCCCGCTCCTCACACAATTCAAGTCTTCTCTCTCCTTCTTCCCCCATCTCTACCCTAACTCCCGTCCCGCCTATCTTATTTATTTTTTCTTTGCACAGTCCCTCTACCATCTTCTCTCTCCCTAGCCTTCTTTCTTCCTCTCCCTCTCCCACCACCACCCCGATGACCAACACAACCTCCATCCTCTTCTCTCCTCCCCTCTTTCTCAATTTCTACCCCTTTCTACACCCAATGACAACACAACTCACACCAAAAAGCCAACAACCACCCTTTATCAAACCTGAACCCCACCAAAAAGCCAACAACCACCACTTGTTTCCTTTCTTCACTAATCAAAATCAAAAATTGATTTTCAATTTTTTCATGGCTAGGGTTGAGTAATTTATCCTCCTACCACCACAACAAAAAATCCTACCTCTTTCCCAGTATTCCTCACATAATTCTCGGTAATTTATCCATATTCGATTTTGGTATGGCCAATGATGGCGATGGTGTTGTGACCAATGATAGAACTGAATCAATCAACAACGCTAATGGTGATTGAGTGATCATCACTGGCCAATGAGACTCGAGTCTATCCTCACTCAGAACTAAAACATCTGCCCAAAACAGATGCGTTTGATTTACAAGGTCGGATCTTAAGAGGCAACCAATCCCTCCAAAGTCATCTATTAGGTATGAAAATTGAATTGAGGAGTTTGTTTCAGGTGTTTCAACACAAAAAAAGATTGCAACCAACAACCACACTTTCTATCTCTCGCTCTTCACTCTAGGTCTTTGTACCCATTCTGGCAACAGAAAGACCCACTCAAAAAAACAAAAGAAAATATTTTTTCTATTTTTCTTGGATTAATTTAGCGTCTATTGATTAAGGTGAGACAGTGCGTTGATTTTTCAGGTGGTTGAACGAGGAGAAAGAGGTGTTGTCCACAAAAATCATTGGTGCCATAAAACAACGTCATCAGTGAAACGTCATTAGTGGAGAGTTTTCGGGGGAATGTGGACAATTGGGATTGTGACCAGAATGGTGAAGTGGAGAAGCCGAAAATCAAAATTATTCTTAGTATGAGGCAACAAGATTAATTTGGGAAGAGCGAACGTGGAAAAGTAGGGGTTTCATGTGAGAATTCACTGCAAATAGGTTATTGTACGGTTGGCCCATCTGCTTCATTTTGAAGCTCCTAGCTCAGCAATGGCTGACCTTTTCTTTGTTTATTTTTGTCCTATTACGCATTGGACATCACATGCTTCCAATCATCTCTTGATGCTCGCCTCATAGATTTGTTACAAAATAAGTATTGGGTGGATACCCTTCCTTTCTTCATCTCCTTTGCATCTTTCACATGAACAATTAGTGTCTTATAATATTGAATTTGATCTACTTCTATCAGACAATTTCCGATACAACCTATTACATTTAAGAATATTAACAATATCTAAAGATGTTACACCTCAACCGCATCTTTGTTTTAGATAGGTTCCTAATATTCCTTAGGTCATTAGTCATAATCCTACTGTATCGGGTCAGAACCCTGATTGAAACATAAGGCCTTACAATTCATGGAAATAAGCCTAAAGAAAGTCATAGCATGCTCACTTCAATGTCTGAATTGTTGACATTGCATCTATTTGATGGGATTTGGTTGCAAAAATCATGGGTTGGTACGTCTCTATTTTCCTCTTATTATTTTTTATCATTTTTTAAAGTAATTTAATTGGGGTTTTCTACTTTGGAATAGTTTGCCCAAATGTTGGAGACCAAAGTTAAAAAGTGAATTTTTTAGCCCTTTTGCTACTACATTTGTTTCTTCAGTAGGTGTCATTAGGGGGCTAACATCCATTGTACATCAAGATTTGTTGCGGTTAAATTGGTTTTCTTGTGTAGTTATGCAAGAGTTGAGGCTTGGCAGACCTGCTAGTGATATCTAGCTATTGTATAAGTTTACAAATTGTGTGTTTTCACTTGGCAACTCTTTAAAGTTAATCTTGAGTTGTTGTTTCATGCCGATTATTTCTCATTGCGTATTATATCAATTGTGCGGAGACATTGGATGATAGGATAACTTCAATTGGTGCAGTAAGAAGTTAGTTGAACCATTCATGGACTCTAGTAAACAACTCTCATCAAAATTGATAGGAAAAGTTGAACGGAAGCAATTAGTTGGATTGGTCAAGAGCTTTTTTGCCCTCATTCCAAGCAACCTCTTTAGATGGGAGTTTGACCGATTAGTCCTACGCACAATGCAAGTAGACCAAGGCAGAGCATCATCCATAGGTGAATAGAAGATCCTGAGGGATAGTTACGTGGATGCAAGGATCAAAATTTCGTTTTGAAATATCCGAAACATTTCTATTTCTAAAGAGACCAAAACAAATAGTGATGAAATCAAAATTCTAATATTTCAATATATTCCATAATGTTTCGAGATGTTTTGTAATATTTCAATGCATTTGCACAATTTTTTCTGCATGTTTTAAAGTGTTTTAAGATATTTTGATATATTTTTGACTAATGTTTTGGAAAAGTAATTCTTAAATTTTTTATTTTTTCATTATATTTCTAAAATGGGTCGAATCGTTTCCATTTCCTAAGTGACCGAAACAATTCACCAAAACAAAATTTTGATCCTTGCGTGGATGGACGGCAGAATGACAAATGAGGCTAGAAAGGGAGAGGAAGGGGCATTAATCTATGTGGTAAGGTTAAAAATCTTGGCTTGCTTGACTAGCATGCCTGTTATATTGATTTCCATTAGACAAGTGAGTTGGGTTCTTCACTTAAGCAGTGGATGGTTGAATTATATTTTAGTTGCTTTACTTAATGGAACCTTCGATCAATCGTGGCTCATCTTTGCTGGACATAACTATTAAGTTTTGGACTGTTAAAGCTCACACATACTCTCAAAGGTACAAGAATGCCTATGCACGTAACATTCAAAAGAAAACTCATGAGGTGAATTAGAAAGATAAACTCGTTGTGTCCTGTATCTAGATTCTAGAGTTAACCAACTTACAGTAGAAGCCTAATGGTTATTATCAAAGTTTTCAAGCATATTGTGCGAGTAATATAGCAAAGTTTTAGCAAATGGTGAGAAAGGGCGTGTTTATGAATTTCCTATTAGTCTCAATATTGATTATCAACAAACTTGAGTTAAATTTTTTTGCCGTAATCCATTTCCCACCTTGTGGGAGGCTAATGTATTGTTCAGTGGGAAGAGAGCATGCAAAATTGTATGGTTCATGCTCCCATTCGGAAACAATTTGTTTTTGCTATTTTTCCCCACGTGATCTCAACTTAATCCAATCCAAGTCTTACTAACAAGCGCGGATAGTTTGATAAGTGGCAAAAGTCGTGTCTCTCTACTTGCGCATATGAACTCCACGTTTTATGTCCCAAACTTAAGCGACATTACCCATCTAGGAAGAAATCTAAGCAACAATGTCCCATATCTCCTTTATAGTGCTCAAAACAAAAAAGGAAACTATTACCGATCACATCCAAGGGCAGATTTAGGGTTGGGGCATTGGGGGCAATTGTCCCTACTCTAATTTCCAAAAGTTTTGGGGTATGTATTAAGTTTTGAAATTTTATTATTTTTTTAGAACTTGCCCCCATAGGAAAGTTTATGAAAAATATAGGAACAATTTTATTTTCTAAAATAAGTGAGATTCTTTGTTAAACCAAATAATTAGACATAAACGTCCCTCACATGACTTAAATTTCATGACCATCATGAAATTTCGAATGAGATTTTTAGTTTTAAATAATTACTTGTGATCGATAAAATCCTTTTGATTGATTGCTTAAAGATTCCTATGTATAGACAAAAATTCATTTATTGAGCACCCTCTTTTTTGTTACAAATGTTTTTTTTGGTCTTGTGGATAATTTCATAGTATTTATGGAGCTATAAAAGATATTTTCTAAGAGGTGTTTTTGTTGGCACTTTCTATCAATTGTTCTTGTACACAGGTTGCAACTCCCACTGGGTGTCTTTTAATGAACCTGCACTAATCAAAAATATTGAAAAATAAAATTTTGTGGAAATAACATTAACAAAATGATTTAAAATTATCAATAAGTTTTAGATTACCCCAACTAAGGGAAAATCCTAGCTCTTGCCCCTGATCTCAGCTTGAAGAGAATGAAGTAGTCGCAACACATAAGCTAAGTTCCTTGCATCCAATTTTGCAAATAGCGGTGTTGTACTATTCGGTTCAAAAACAGTCTCTGATAGAATTTATGAAGATAGAATACTCATTAGGAATAACATAAATAATTAAAGTGGTTTGGTTTATAAGTTCTACATTCACCGAGCAAATACACACAAGGGCTACATCTTCTTATTGACTCTTGATACTAAAGTACACAAGCATTGGACCCTACAACTTTCTAAATTATGTATTAGCAGTAAGATTGAACAATTATAGGGATCAAAGTAAATCAAAATCACAACCGCAATCGTGTGAATTTACATAAATGACAATTATTGGATCTGATCTTTAACTTTGCTTGATCTCAACAATCATGGGATTTAATCTTCAACTCTTATTTTCAACACTTCCCTCAGGTTGGAAGCGGAAATGTGGAGCTTAAGTATCCAACTTGAACTGA